AAGTGGCTCGCGAAAGGGTTAACTCTACGAGTCATGTACTGAGAGTCTTAGCTCTTGGGTACTCCGTACCCATATGTGCGCCACACACGTGTAACCCCGTTTCACTCTCCCCCACTAAGATGAGAACTTACCCTTTCTCGAATGTACCTCAGCGAGGCCACGTCTTGCCAAGACGTAGGAGGGCACTGCGTCTTATCCTTGCGTTCTCCAGCTCCCCGAGCTCACGAACACCTTTGCACCTTTGATGCTTAAAAAACTTCGCCTGCGGCCCACGGCTAAACGTCATCAGCGCGTCGCGCATCAAGTTCCATCATGCTCCTTGAGCAAGTTTCTTCGAAACAAATGCGCGTCAACCAGGACGCTTGTGCTTGGACCTCGTTCAACACAACACGAAGCATCCGCTTCCGTCGGGACCATGCCCCCAACACCACGAGGCACACCTGCCTCCTGCTCCCGCTGCAAGCATCTATGCTCATCCTTGAGCTGGCTGCTCCAGCCACTGGTCCGAGCCTGAGCTGAGCTACCGACTTGTAGACATCCCGCACTACTGGCGGGAAGCACTTGGCGCTTGGCGACGCAGTCGCGAGTCCATGTGATTTATTGGCGGTGGGTGTGCCAGGTCATAGGCGTCAATGACGTCAGGGCAGTCCTCACGGAGGGGCACTTCGAACTCCCATGAGTTCTGTGAATGTGGATATCCTCTCCATTTCACTAAGTACTGGGTACGACCCCGACGACGACGCCGCGCCACAAGGCGTTCCACGTGATAGTGGGGATCACCGTGCTCGTCGAGCAGAGCTGGAGGAGGCCGTGCCTCAGCTGGATTCCCGCGCTGCGAATCAACATTCGCCGGAACGGCGTCTGCGTCATCACGACGATGCGTCCCTGACGCGAACGACCACATTCATCCCCAAACTGTCGGTCTCGACGAGATGTTCCACCCCGTGAACTGTTTGTACTCCATATTGTTGATTCACAACCAGGTCCCGGACCTTGAGCACTAAGTTGCTCAGCTGTATCTTCAGCTTGGATTGCTCCTGCATCTCGAGCATTTTGCTCCCGGATCTGTGGCTTCGCCACATGCTGTTGATCAACTCCCCGTGATTCCATCACTTGCTGTTGGCCAGCCTTCCGTGGTTTCACCACATGCTGTCCCGCAGCCGCACGCGGCCTAGCCGCTCTCTGCCGATTCGGCGCCAGTGACTCGGCGCTGACACGAGCCGGGTCCTGGTACGGCTTGAGCAAGCCAACGTAAAACACCGGGTGGGTGCGCATCTTCTTGGGAAGACTTAGCGTGTACGCTAGGCCCTTCCTGGCCACGACTTTGAACGGTCCAATGAACCTAGGTCTCAGTA